AAAGGGCCTGCTTATCTAAGGTCTTTATCGAGCTGAGTTCTGAATTTCCGTAACTCGGCAACTGTGGGTCCCGACAACGGACGCAAAATAGTTAATGCCTGGCAAAAGGATCCCGCTGTGGTCTAGACTCAGCGCAGTCTAACCGAGTTTCTAGATGCCAAAATTTGTTGAGCGTCAGAATCAGGGACCCGGACTTTTATAATTAAAGTCGTTAGAAAAAAGTTATTTTTAAACTTGGCCAAATATACAAATTTGATGAAAGAAGATTAAACTAGCTTTCAAACTGAAATATCTAAACGTGGAATTCCACCTATGTCACGTAGGTCAGGTATACGAATTCCTTTTGTATTGAATTATAAAAAAAAAATATATATATATGTATATATATATGTACCCAAATATGCTCCATCCTCCATCCTTGGCCCGTCTGTGAACTAATGTACAGATCTGGGGTCAAGGTGAGCGGATCCATTCGCCCAGATCTCTGCTGGACCTTCCAGACAGATTTCTTTGGGGATGGAAGCGGAGAACCCGCATTTTTCCATCCTGGTATTAGAAACACAAAATACCTTGTTGCTATAAACCGTATCGCCAGACGTTTGCATTTGCAGTTCTCTCGAGGTTGATGTTGCTTCAACAAAAATATATAGTGGGGCTCCAGAGCATAAGAGCATATTTTGCCCAAACTGTTCATCAAATTCCAACGGTTGTGGCACACTGTGCATGTCATTTTTGCTTAGGTTCTTCAATCAATCTACCACCACTAGGACCATCATCAGGTTTGCTTCGTTTCTGACATTGTTTAATTTTTTGCGCGTGAATTTGGCAAATGCAAAAATCGTAAAAAAGCTCATGGCGCAGCAATAAAACCGCCATCAACTCCGCACAACATTCCCTCAAAAGGTGATATCACCCATAGTGCAAGAGGCCAGGCAGCCAGTGTTGCGTTTGCTCGTAAACCCTATCAGCAAATCAAATGCGTGTTTCAATGAATTAGAATCGCCTTTAAGGATAATAATTTCGCAGTTTTTATGTTCACCGATGTTTTTTTATGTGGCGTCAAACGTCAAGCTGTGTCATGTAAATTGAACGAACGTTTCGCTTATTTTTATTGAGTTTTGCTTCGCCTCTTCCATTGTAGGAATATGGTTTGACACGCATTGACATCATTTTAGTCGGCGTCGTTTTGCGGATCGACTGAAAAGTGGAAGAAAATCTTAGAAATCATAAAAAACTACTAAACAAAGAACTCCTAGATGAAGGGAATAGCTACAAGCATAAAAACACAATAGGCAAATCTTGATTGCTCATCAGCTTGCGAAAGCCTCATGTCCCCATCGGCGTTTCCATTATCAACATCGCTAGCATTTTCGGCAGGGAGAAAACGCTAAATTGCGCATTTGTGTACCTACATACATACATATGTATGTATGTATGTACATATTTACATTCACTAGATCCTTTGTTTGGCCTTTTTTATGGCTGACAGTTTGAGTTTTGCGTTGTGCTTACATTTAATTAAGTAGTAGTGAGCAGGTCAGATGAGTAGATTATTGTTTTTTGTCTATAATTTTAACAAAACCAGATTTTACCGCAGTAAAAAGGAGTTAGGTAGCCCCAGCTCACATTTCGTTCCCTTCGATAGGCAATAGCAAAGCTTTTAGTGTGGTTGTGGCATGGAAAAGCTTTTTATAAAAACCATTTGCCGTTCGGAGGCGGCATAAAACTGTAGGTTCCTTCACTTGTGTTGCAACATTACGGCACACATCTCAAATCGGAGCAGGAGCCCGGCCAAGCATTAGCAAATGTCTGAGCTATTGTTATTAGTTGATGAGCTTTGGACAGTATCAATAAAATTTTTGGAAATTCCAGCCATTCAATCATCTCAACAAACCTAATAAGAATTTACGACAAGGACGAAAAGCAGTGATCAGCCAGTATAACTGATTTTCAACAAAAATACGTATTCAAATTACTTCCAATAATAACCAATTTCCAAAAAAGTGAATATAACAAAAAGTATGACGAAAATTTTTGTTTAACTTTATGGATACAAACAGTTTCACATAATTTTTTTCGCGACCGGATATTCTTTGCCTTTGTTTAAATTTCCTTCTTTACGCCGACCCAGCGATATTATGTTAATGTTTTATGATTGCGCCTAAACATAGGCACCGCCATTTTGCCCACTAAGTAAGCTTTCGGTTTTGCGGTACACATACATATGCATATAACAACAAGCATACCCTGCAGCAAATTAAACTGGTTCACAAATCACGTAGAATACACCAAGAAAAAAGTCGAGGTTTAAATTTTACATTTGAAATTCATTTCAGGTTGATTTGAAGAAAGATGTCAAGTATCAAACGATACAAAAATGCGCAGTTAAATCTAAAATTGTATGAATAAAATTAAGATCAATTGAAAAAAAAACAATGAATAGAAAAAAAATTTCAAAGAGAATGCCCACAGATAGTGGATTTAATATTTGCGCGGATAGAAGAAGCTGCCGCCCTTCAATACGAAGTTATTATAAATTACTTTATCTTAATTGTTTCTTTTGTTATGTACATACCAGGGTGTTCAGATTGTTTGAATAAAAAGCGCAATTTCTGGAAAAAATCGCCAAAAACTGCAAATTTTTTTTAAATAAAATTTATGAAATCGATTTAGCAAATCCTTTATTTTAAAAATGAGATCTTGTTATAATATAGTTTAAAACCAAAAACGAATATAATACCTTAAAAGGGTAATAATAAATAACACAAATCGCTCATACAATAGTGATGTACAAACAATTTTCTTTAAAAATACACATACTTTTTAAAAGTATTTGTTTCCACACATTTTGCGCAATTATTAAATTTATTATAACTCATATTAATTTATTAATCGCACAGTCCGCTCGGCGCTAAAATTAAATAAAAACCTTTAATAAGGCGAGATCAGCTATTTCCACAATTTTTTCAAAATCGCCTGTAGAGTCTGAATTATTTACATTTCTGTTGTCATATATTGAACTATTCAACCCTGATAACGTACTGTTTGATATTGGAAACGTTTTGCAGCAGCCTTATATAACACTTTATTCGAACTATTTAATTAAGGCTTTCCAACCTCATCCTATTTCGAATCTTAATTTTTGTTGAATTCATTACGGAAAAAACGCGCTCAACAGAGCATGAAAGTGCTGAAAGGATAATAATATGAATTTACTTATGTTTCCACACATTTTATTACCTGTGGCGGGTTTCACTCCGTAAGCAATTATCCAAAATTCTTCAGAGTTTGATGGAATGGTTTTGAGAAGAGTTATTCCATGGGAAAATTAAAAGATTTAAATATTCAGTTTCCGCTGCTTTTCTTGCCTTCAAAGTCAAATAGTAAACTTGCAGGTCCCTGAAACTCGCCCTCTTGTGATTCACACACTTTTATGGTGACAGAATCAAAGCTTTTTTTGAAAGTATTTAATTGACTAGGTAATCGTTTCAAAAGTTCTCCGATTAGGGTGATTAAACATTTTTGACAGTCTTTTAATTTGCTTCTTAAGTCAATTTTATCACGCATTGCATTAGCCTCTTTTGTAAAATTATCGTGGAAAACTCAGTTTTGTATATTTTTATAATTGGAAAAAATTATTTTTATAATTGAAGGGGAAAAAATCGCCAAAAATCGCCAATGGCGATTTCCTAAATTTTTACGCGCAAATATCCAAAAAAAAATCGCCAAATCTGGACACTCTGGTACATACCTATGTACATCGCGAAGAAAAAATAAATATGAAATATACATATCCTATAATATTTAAATCTTATTTCCACATTTGAAGTACAATTGATAAATAACCTTTGAAATTGATTTGGGAGTTAACCATATTCTCCAATGGAGATCAAACTTCCCTTTTTATTGAGAATACTGTAATTTTCAAATTAGTATCAAATCATTTTCAAACGTTTGACATTTGAGAAAGGCTTTGATTTCAAATCATTCTCAAATGTATATCAAACCTAATTGTTTGCTGGGAGTATACATGATTTGGTAACTACATATAGCCAAATAATGTAACCATAACTATGTAAATCGTGAGTTGAGGAGAGAAACATATTTAGTTGACGTAACTAAACTCTTTTCTCAGTGTAGGTAGGTAGGAGAATTTTATCGATTGTTCGTCTTATATTGGGGCGTATTCTTATATTCATACGAATCGAAAATCATGAAATTTTCCTATCATTTTGTATACAAAAATTTCAAATTTTCAATTCGTAGGAAAACAAGAATAGGCCCCATTATTTATAATTGGTAACTTACGAATGTACATACACACAAAAATTCGGTACACCTTAATATTTAGTCATACATAAATAACTATCGCAAACTATAATGTACGTGCGACATTGCAGTCGGCTTACTTCAGACGCGATCAAAGTGGTTCGAAATTACCGAAGCCTAGAACGACTTCTTAACCAGAAAGTGATTTTATTAACTGAGGGTTTCCCTCCGCTAATGTATGTAGGTATATGCATATGTGTACGTACAAAACACAGAACACATTCGTATAAAAATGTTGTCTTCCACTTAAATTTCCTGCCGTTATCTGTCGATGACACTTTCACTTCCACGACTTCTTTTGCGCGGTCTTTCTCGTTCGCGTCGACTGCCACCAATTTAACCCTTTTTGGCCGCGCTTGCTGACCCGAAGGAACCCCGCTTTGCCTGAAGAAGAACTGAGGTTTCCTGTTCCACTTCAACGCCCCCACCTCTTATGCCTAATCGTTCAATGCGTAATGCAATATGCATACATACATATGTACATACATAACTAGAGGGAAGTTGCGAGCGAAAGGAAATTGGCGGAAATTAAAAGGTTACTCCAAATGGTTTTCAGAGTTGTCAAAAGTCAGCAGCCAACAAGTTCAACGAATACTCGATCCGTGCCATCGTTTTGCTGTTTAACGCTGTAAGGGGAAAGGAATTATTACCCTCAGATAACATGAAATGCGATTTTACAAATTAGAGATTTTCAACTTAACTGTTATTTGAGTCATTTGGTTCATCTGTTTATGTGGCGGTTTAAATTCTAATGGAAATGGCCTGATTTTTCGTCTACCAGTTGCAGCACGGTATTTAGAAAGGGGAGAGAGAGAGAGGTAGGGCAGCGGAGTTGGCATGGTTTGATTTTCTCTTATTTACACAAAAAAGTATCAAATTACGAATGGCTTACGAGCATAGTGATTTTATGATACAACAACTATTTTATTGTGTGGGTTGATGGTTTTAGAAAGGTTTTGAGGGCAAATGAATAATTTTCGAAATCTATTGTTTCAGGCACAACAGCTCACTTGATCGAAATATGAAAAGTTTTCATTTCATCATTAAGCGCTCATCAACATCTACATATAAGTACATACATACATACATACATATACGTATATACTTTATATTGTAACTCATGTACATAGATATGAAGAGAAGTAACGGGTTATACCAACAAATTTGCATGATTCTTAAAAACTTGCAGTTTTGGTGTTCTTTGACTTTCCACACTAGAATTCTGGCATTTAGTCATCTTATAAAATCTCATCTTTTAAAGTGAGCTAACTCAAAATTGATAGAACGAAATTTAACTACTTGTGTATCGTACAGATTCAACGTAATTAAGACAAAAAAAAAAACAGGTATAACTACAGCGACTATTCGTACCGATTTTGGCGGGACAGTACAGATTTTGAGAAAGTTGTCCCGCTGAATATTTGTTAAGTTGTTGAAAAATAATAAATATCTAAGTCCCGGGATCGTAAAAATTGAAAAAATTAACATCCCTAATACATACGTTGCCGCTTACAAACAAAATATATTCGATCGGTTCAAAATAGACTAGAAATATTCTCTACAAAGTAGATATTCTGTTCTAACTAAAAGCTTCCGTTAAAAGCTTTATCAAACTCAAAGTTCGTAGTTTTTTCTCAACTGCCTTTCGCGTCTCTTTTCATTAAATTAGTTGCAAATTAGAAGTGCTTCCGTCAATAGCACAAATCATGGTGGGACTGGTTTTGGGAATAGATATTTTGCTGCTTGCCGGTGTCTTCGTCATTGCGTCGGATCCAACTGCCGTGGAATCAGGTTGGCTCAAAATTTTATTCAGATATCATCTTTTGATGCAAATTAAATTTTTCTTATCAGCTACCAAATGCCTTAATCCCAACCAGAATGAGGGCCATTGCATTTCAATCTACGACTGCAAATCACTGAGCTTTGTTCTGAGAAAGCAGCTGACGGCCCAATATCGCTTTGTGCGTTTTTCCCAGTGTGACGGTGGCGCTGATGCAACCGGGAAATTCCCATTCGTCTGCTGTACAAACGACACGGACTTTCGAGACTCCAACGCGGATTGGCAGCAGCGTATTATCTTTCCTGACACAGGTCAAAATGGGAGGCCTGACCCTGGACGTCAGAATGTCGATATTATAGAGCCGCCACGATGTGGTGCACTGACGATATCGAATAAGATTTACGGTGGAGAAGAGGCTGAGATTACAGAGTTCAGTTGGATGGTTAAGCTGGAATATCGAACCGGTAAGTGGTGGCTATGCTTGATTTTATATAGAACGCGCCTATCTTCCTGTATTGATAAAAAGTTTCGAGTTGTCCTTATAGTTCGTCAAGAATACAATTCTGAGTAAATTTTAAGTGCGAAGTTTGAGTCGTCAATCAATGATTTTCTTTTTCTGCAGTACCGATGCGACTGTTCTACTGCTATGTGTGTTCATAGATTTGAATATTTAATATTTAATTTTGCTTTCAGTAAGTGGTTCAGTTGTCTCCGAATGCGCTGGCTCATTAATCAATGAACGTTATGTGCTGACAGCAGCTCATTGTGTCACTGGTCCAGTTGAACAGAAAATAGGTAAACTGTACGTCCAAAAAACAAACTACTTCCGCATTTCCTTTTTACATTGAATATGTATGTATGTACATTAAAGTGGTCCAAAAATGTATGTAAAAAATAATAATGTCGGCTTTTTAATGCCGCCACCCCCTAGGAGTGTTATGTACCGAAAAAATATACCCCTATTTTTGATTTTGAATTAAAAAAAATTTAAGGAGTGCTCAAAGCGCTCAAAGTTTTCCATGTATTTTATATGGGGAAAACAACTTTTCTTAGAAATAGTGTAGAATTCTTGAAAATCAATATTTTGCTTTCCTGAAGAGAACCACGGTCTCCTGAAGAGAACCAGTTTCCCGATCGAAAAATTTTGATTTTCAAGAGTTGTACACCATTTCTACGAAACATTTTTTTCTCCATATAAAACACATGGAAAACTTTGAGAACTTTGAGCACTCCCTAAATATTTTTTGATTTCAAAATGAAAAAATACGGGTATATTTTTTCGACATAGAACAATCCTAGGGCGTGCCGGTATTAAAACTCCGACTTTATTTTTTGGACCACCCTAATGTATATACATTAGATCGTACCATTTCACAGGAAAAAAAGTTCGCTGTAAACCTTCGAGCCTAGAGTCTTTTTACAAGTTAAGCCCTGTATGCAGCTCTCAAGAAAACGGTCAAGAAAAAATTGCCATTATTTCGCGTGTGTGTCCAAGGAATTTGGACATTTTTGATACCTCACAGCCTGTTGCCTCACTCTTTCCTCAAGAAATATTGGAACGGGCATATATTTCTGTTGCAAACCTGGGTTGCCTTGTGCTCTTTTTTCACAAAAAAACTTTAGAAAACCATAGTATAAAGCGTACTAAATTTCTTAAGAACTGCGTACTGCCTTAAGTAAATTTGACTTAAGAAAATTTCTAAGGCATTTTGTATGGAGTTTTTGCTTTTCTTGAGAACTGCATACAGGCCTTTAATTAAAAAAAAAAAAAAAATATAGTTTCTGTTTGCCGAACCTTGGGTCGCCTTTTTTCATTTTATCAGGTGTCGGCAATACATTTTTTTTAAATATTTCTACTGCAATAATCAAAATACTTCACAGCAAGAGTTTAATGATTTTTGGCGATCTTGTGACAAGAACTGATATCTGTTTGGTAAGTACTAGAATAAGGTTCTTGAGGTTAATAAAATTAAAAAAAAAAAACTAGTTAACTCCTCGAGACACAAACATCGATATATCATACTTTATGGTGCGACTGTAAATGCCAAAGCTATGCCCAAAATTTATATTTTTTCGTGATTCCCTTGCCAAAGTACTTTACATTCGAAGGTGTACGGCGAAATCTTTTTTCTGGTACGCTCTAATGTAGATATGTATTACCACTCCGATTTTTACTAAACTAATCCAACTGTTTACATAATTCATATTTAGCATCTCAGTGCGCACCGGAGATCATGACATTGCATCACCGGAGAATTGCAATCAGCACGAGTGCCCGCTGTCCTATCAGCGCTTCGGTATTCAGAATATTATCGTACATGATCGTTACGGTGCTAATCGGGATCTCCGCATTAATGAGCATAACGACATAGCATTGATTCGAATGGATAAGGCGGTGGAATTTAATGATTACATGCAGCCTGTTTGCCTGCCCATTGTTCGCCTTCAACAAGAGCTAAGAGAGGGTGCACTACTCACGGTGGCCGGCTGGGGTCACACGGGTTTATGTACGTGACGAATAGCTTTGGTTTTTTTTTTGTATTTAATTCTATCTATTGTGCGTTATCACATGTTTTGGTTTTGTTTCAGCTCAACATAGTAGAGTGAAGAAAAAAGTCCGAGTGCCACTTTATTCCATGGAAAAGTGTCGCCATATTTTCGATAGTTACTTTTATGTTGCTGATGAGCAACTCTGCGCTGGTGGTGTTTTCCACCGAGACGCATGCAGTGGAGACTCCGGCGGTCCTCTTATGCGCCTCAATTCGACTTCTTGGGTAATTGAGGGCATCGTGGCATCTGGACGCGGCTGTGGACTAGAGAACATACCGGGGGTCTATACTCGCATTCGAAGCTATATCGATTGGATTGCAGAGCATATGGAACCGTGGTAGTACCATGACAGTATTTGCCTACATAAAACCTACCTAGTTGAAAATACTTGTCATCGAGGTGGAAATAAATTCGAGAGGAAAGCAGGGACCTTGAAAGCATTAAGACGAAGAGTATTGCTTAACCAACAAAAAATGTACAATTAGTAATTAAATAAAAGAAAGATGAAAAATGAAAGCTTCCGTTTTTTTTTTGTGAAAGGGAATGTGATGAATGAGTAAGGAAAATGTTTACATTCCCAGCCAGGGGGGAGAAACGTACTTTTTGCCGAAAGTGCAGTTTTCGTACAAACGATTTCCAGATTTGTTCATTTTTCGTATCCAAAAAATGTCATCATCTTATTTCAAAACAATAACTTTAAAATATTTGTTCAAACTGAGCATTTGAAAAAATGTATACGTATTCGCCAGTATCTGAGTGTGCAGAGAAGTGTGCTACTATTTGTTAGCTTTCAGGAGGTCCCAGGTTCGAATTCCGTCAGAAGCATAATGAAATCGTTTTCAGCGAAAAATTGAATCAGACAAGTTTCAGGAAAACAGCCGAAAGTGCCATTTTCGATAGTTTTCTGCACATACGTTTCGAATGAACACTTTAGTGGGAGAATTTATCGTCCGAAAACGGAATCGGAAAACGGATGAAACATCAGGTTTTTATACGAAATTGTTTCCATTTTCGGATACGTTTCCGGATATTTTGCTGGCTGGGTTAACACCGAAAATTGTTTGTATTGTGTTTATTTAGATATGGATGAATGTGTATCAGAAATAGGTCCAATACAGTTACATCAATAAAATTGGCCAACAAAATTTTGCGGCGGAGATTCCGAGGCCGAAAGGATTTTTGAACTGAAACGTCTTTGTGCTCGGAAAGGGGTAAATGCAAACGAAAAAGCAATGGAAGAAGAGAGGGCATGGCGGTGATTGAGCACGAATAAGATGGTTTCTTATGAGAGCAATGTCAAAATCAATCATACCGAGCCCTAACCGCCAAAATAACGTAAGCGACATTTTTTTCAAAATTTTCTTTTTGATGCAGAAATATTCCTAGAGCATCTAGATGCATTTCTGCATCAAAAAGAAAATTTTGAAAAAAACTCATGGATCTAGGTTAATGAATTCAAAAAATAATTGGAAGAAAATCGTTTTTCT